AAAAAAACATTTCAAGATCTAGCTTAAAAGACAATGCTGTCTGTAGCATCCTCAGGGTAAAACTTAAGATTAATACAAAAATACAGAGCTTAAAAACCTATAGATAAGATGAAATGTAACACTGAAAATCATTCCATACTTGTTCATTCTGTAGTCTGAGAAAATAATCTGAGAAACTGGGCTAACTGAAGAAGTATGTGACATCTGGATTGGAACAAAGCCAATTTAAGATATGCAGATGACGCAACCTCAATTACTAAAAGTGAAGAGAATCTGAAGCACTTGCGGATGTAGATTAAGGACTGCAGCCTTCAATAGGGATTGCAACTCAACATAAAGAAAACAAAAATGTTTACAACTGGCCCAATAGACAATATCATGATGAATGGAGGAAACTTGGAAGTTATCAAGGATTTAATTTTACTTGGATTGATACTCATGGAAGCATCAGTCAAGAAAGCAAATGCCATATTGTATAGGGCAATTCTGCTGCACAAGACCTCGTTAAAGTGTTGACAGGCTCTTTGAGGACTAAGATGTGACTAACCAAAGCCATGATATTTCCACTCCTTACATATACATCTGAAAGTTGAACAATAAATAAGAAAATCTGAAGAAAAATAATACATTTTACTTATGATGTTGGCAATGACTATTGAAAATATCGTGAACTGCCGGGTGATCAAACAGATCTGTCCTGGAAGAAGTACAGTCAGAAAGCTCCTCAGGATGCTGAGACTGAGATGCTAAGACTGTCTCGCATGCTTGGACATGCTATTAGCAGAATCAGTTCCTGAGAAAGGATATCATGCTTGGTAGAGAGTCACCATAAAAGACCCTCAGGGAGAAAGACTGACACAGTGGCTAAAAAAATCATGACAATGGTACAGGACACAGTGATGTTTCATTCTGTTGTGCAACACTGATTTGGTGGCACCTAAAAATGACAAGAAGTGAATTGAGATCTTCATGAGTAGCAGTGGAACAATGGCTGAACATGAGCTCTTCATGTCAGAAGTGGATCAAAGTACAACTGGGGAGGAGCTACCTCTTCAAAATGTAGTAGGCTTTAATAATATAAATGGAGTAAAACGTTCAGGGTCTTCATATTCTGATGGAGCATGATTCAAAATGCAACATCCATTTATAAGATCATGGAACGTAAGAAGTATGACTCCAGTAAAAATGGAAATGATCAAAAATGAAATGGAACATTAAATATGATTAACATAAGCATTATTAAACTGAAATGAAACACTACTCACCATTTTTAATCATATGATTATTATGGCAACAATTACATTTCAAAAGAAATGTTCTCACATTCTTAGTCCAAAAGGACATTTCAAGATCTATCTTGGAGTAAAGGACAGGTTGTGACAGTATCTGTGACAGGTTATGATCTATATACCTATAAGGAAGACCAATTAATACAACTATTATTCAAATGTATGTCAACCACTAAAGCTAATGCTAAAGAAATTGAAATTTTCTTTTAATTTTTCAGTCTGAAATTGATTGGACATGCAATCAAGGTGAACTGATAATAATCGGTGATTGGAATGATAAGTTTGAAACAAAGAAGTATCACTATTGGCAAGTATGGCCTTAGTGATAGAAATTAAGCAGGAGATTGCAAGAGGGAATTTTGCAAGACCAATGTCACTTTACTACAAATACCATTTTTCAGTAACATAAATGGAGACTATAAACTTAGACTTTCACCACATGGAATATAATTGACTACATTTCTGGTAAGAAACAATGGGGAAAATAAGAAGAAAAAAACAAGTTCACAAAGAACTCTCATTGTCAGCAACAAACCAAGCCAGGGCCTAACTGGAATAAACCACCAAATCCTCATCTACAAATCCAGGTTAAAGGTGCAGAAAATTAAAACAAGTCCCTGGGAGCCAAACTACAGCTTTGAATATATTCCCAATAAATTCAGAGACCATCTTAAAAATCAATTTGATACACTGAACTGAAGATCAGACAAGTTGTGGGATAACACCAATGTAAAATACGTGAAGAAAAAAGTAATTAAAAAGACAGAAACGACCAAAGTGAATGTCAGAAGAGACTCTGAAATTTGCTCATTAACATAGAAAAGTTTAAGTGGCTAGAAGAAATGGTGAAGGAAAATAATTGAACAGAAAATTTCAAAAACAAACTCTGTAAGCCAAAGTAAAGTACGGTCATGAAATGTGCCAAGACACGGAGTTAGACTATCAACTAGGAAAAGCACACTAAGCCTATCTTAAGCTAAAAACTGCAGAAAACATTCAAGCCTTACATTATAATATTGAAGGTTTCTTTGGGCAAAATATTGAATAATGCAGAAATCATCAAGACGTAGGAAGAAAACACACAATTGCTGTACCCAAAAGAATTCGTTGGTATTCAACCATTTCAAGAGGTAGAATATAACCAACAATCAATATATTGAAAAATGAGTTCACTTAAGTCATTTGCAATTGACCTGGATCCAAGTATTGACAAAATATTAATAGAAATATTCCAAAAAACTGATGCAGCACTAGAAGCACTCACTAATCTGTGCCAAGGAATTTGGAAGATTTTTACTTGGCCAATCAACTGGACAATATCCATGCCTGCTCCAAAGAAAGGTGAACCAACAGAATACATATTTTTCAAACAATAATTTACTATTACATGCAAGGAAAACTTTTCTTAAGGTAATTTTAAAATGATTGTAGTAGTAGATCAACAGGCAGCTGCCAGAAATTCAAGCTGATTCAAAAGAATATTATTGCTGGTGTCCGTTGGATCTTAACTGAAAGCAGAGAATACCAGAGAGATGTTTACTTGTATTTTATTGATTATGCAATGACATTTGATAGTGTGGAACATAATAAACTATAGGTAACATTTCACAGAATAGGAATTTCAGAATATTTTATTGTGCTCATACAGACCTGAACATAAACCAAGAGGCATTCATTCAAAGAGAACAAGGGGAGATAAATGTGCATATAATAGCACAGAGGTCAAATTCTGACATCTGTCTTCTGGCTTCCCTATTGCCATGAGGCAGGTACAAAATACGTCTCCACCATTCATCTTTCTTTTCCCTATTCTGGCACCAACCATTTCTCCCATAACACTTATTTTCTGCTAGGTTCCGTAATTAGTTGTAATGACCACAACAAACAAGATGAATTCACAGACAAACTCATGATTACGGTGCTTTATTAAGGAAATTAACAGGTTACCACAAGTCAGGACTATTAAAACATAAAGATATAATCATTTGTCCACAGCAGTGCCTTTTCTCAGCCAACAGCCAAGTCTTTTTTCTGCTCAGCCTTTCAGCCACACAGTTCCTTGGGCTCTGCCTTCCATGGGCTAGAAAGCGGGGCTGACAGTCCCCTAGGTTCAGTGCCGCTCCTCTGTTCTGTCGCATGGTCTCCTTGCCTCAGCCTGGATCATTTTCTTTATCGCATGATCTCTCTGCCCCACCTTCAGGTTGTTCTAATCTCAGTTTCTGCCACGTTAGGCAGAGTTCTTGAACACGCTCCACTAGTGGCTCTTCTTCCTTGATAGTCCTGGGAATTCTCTCTCTTACGGCTTCTGGGATGCCTCATTCTTATACTCAAGGAAATGGCAACCTCAACTGACCAATCCCTTCTAATAGGGTTTCCCACACCCTATTTTCATGGCCTCAACCCATTGCCTGGTGGGAGTGACAGAGACAGGGACAGAAGAGCCATATTAGGAAAGTTCACTCATCGCACCTAAGTTTCTGGACTACTTGCAAAAACAAAAGTTTCTACAGCCTCACTCTCCCTGATCATCAATGCTTCTAGCTTCAGAATAGCTGCCCATTTCAGCATGCCAGGTTACATAACACAGAAGAGTTGTCATCTATGACAACTGGACAGTTTACGAGCTGGGGGACTGCTCATCTTTTGCATATGAGGAGACTTCAAAAAGTGTATGGAAACCTGAAAACAAAAGTAAATGGAATTTCCTACAAACTTGTGAAACCCCTTGTACTATCTATTTATTTTTGTAAGTAATACGATCTAGTTTCCATGTGCTACTGCACATTGAGGCTTTGGAATGCTGCAATGCTTATGGAACAACTCATTTTAGTTATTGGTTACCTTTTAGAAATTATTGTTGCCTATTTAGAAATCAGGTACAACATGTAATACACAGTTTGGGTATGTTAATATTCAGTCATAAAGGGTTTTATGTGTTGGCTGTGTATCCTGATAACTTGATGAATAAATTTATTAGTTCTAAAAATAAAAATAATAATAGCTGCTCCTTTTTGATAGTGTATACCCTTGGGTTGGACACTGTCTCCATCAGGATCCCCTGAATTATTAAAATATCTTTCTGGGTATCTTTAACATGTGAGTGTGTCCTCCAATTGTGCATCCAGTCTTTCAGACAAAGGTGTTGTGAGGTTGTATGCAGAGAAAGAGGGAGAAAAAGTCAAGCAATTAAAGCAGCTCCAATATGAGTTTTATCAACTTCAGGAACATTAAAACTACAGGAATAGTATCCCAGAGTGAATAAAAGATATTTGATGAGAGGCTGTTTGGAGTATAAATCAAATCAGAGCTGTGATTGTCCAAACACACTACTTTCCCATTCTCACATTATCCTGCAGTTTAAAGTTGACACACTAAAAGATTTGTCTTAACCTGAAAGGAATCAAATGCTTAAATTCTGCCAAAATAACAAGCCTCATGATGCAGAGCAGTGAGACTTCAGTATAGAAACAGACACATAACAATGTGTTTTTACAATCGTTGTAAGAATAATTTACAAGATGTAGTAACCAAGAGAGCAAAGGAGAAGTTAAGAAAAATCCTCCATTATCAAATAAAAACATGCAAACAAGGCTGAAACATATCAATGATTGTAAGGAAGGTGCAAGACTGGACAGTGCTTTGTTCTGTTGTATGTAAGGTCGCCACAGTAGGACCTAACTGGATGAGACACAACAGCAGCAAAAGGAGATGAACTTGGCTCAGACATTAGTCTCATAATGTTCTGAGTCTGTCCCAGGGGAAATCCCCTCTAGATCTGCTAGCTCTGATTCATGAAGGACGTTAAGCAGTACGGTTAGGGTCCATTCTCAACAGAAGTTCACGTCTTCTCTCAAATGAAACCACAGATGTATCGTTGACAGTTTCTTTATAACATGAACTCGGACAACTGCCCTCTTCTAAGAAAACAAAGGTGGCCAGGACATATCTAAAACACAACAAAGTACTGACATAGTTATCAGCCAGTTAACATCAATCTAAGCCTCAGGTGGGCAAGTCCACATTCTTTCCTTTGTAAAGTTAAACTTGATCATACCCTTCATTGGTATCAGTGAACGAGTGCTCAGAAAGTGCCATCCAATGTTCCAGGTGATAATCTTTTTGAACTGTGCTTTACAGAACATATGCACATGTCCTCCTGCCATGAAGCTAGGGAACTGGAGGTTCAAGAACATTTGTTGTCCAAGTCCTTTGTAAGGTGACCAGATTTTAACATTGGTAAAGCGGGACAAAAGCAGGACACCATTGATAAAACTCATATCCTGGCAAAATAGCCACATGGCAGCCGAAAACCATATACCTAGCTTATCATGCATTCTTTCGAAAAATTGGGCCTTTTTTTAAAAACGCTGTGGGGCACGGGAAAAATTGTTAAAAATCGGGACTGTCCCGCCAAAAGCAGGACATCTGGTCACCTTATTTTAATGGATTCTCTAATATTTGCAAATTACTTTGGTTCTCCATCAACAGTTTAAGCTTCGTCGTAATTCAGACATAACATCTTAACAGCATGAATGTAAACATTTTAATTGAGCAAAGAAGTATTTTCATCATGCACAGAAGATGTGATGAAAGGTATGGGATAATGGGATAAGTTATCACACTGGAGATATACGAATCAAGGGGGATACATGCAGAAGACCTTGAAAAAAAGGGACATATCGGCGGGGAGCTGGAGTAGTCATATAGAATATTGAGCCAAGGAGTAACGTGGGTGAAAAGACCGAGGCAGAATTGTCAAACACACGAATGATTGAAAAAAAGGAAAGAAATCAAATTGTTACGATAACAAGAAAAATTCACGTGGTTCTTTCTCTTGAGGACCTCGGTATCAAGACAGTCAAAAATGAAATGAGAAGAAATATACAACTTCAAAAACTACACAAATAGTAGTAACTGGTTAACCAGGAAACATTTTCTAATAGAAGCAAGTCTCCAGATTTAATCATTTAATTAAATGGTAAGTAAATAAGGACAGACAATCCTAAGACAACCAGAAGAGAAACAAATGTGTGACCTTCTTCCCTTGGCCTGTTTCATATTTGAGAGTGTACATGAACAATTCTTCCCACAACAGAGTTCATTTGACCATCTCAGATTTATGACTCAATCAGGGAAAAATTTACCTTCTGCTCCATCATGCGTGGGATACAGCAATGGTGTGGTTTCCTGGCTGCATTCAGTCCAGTTAGCAGCAATCCATGAATTAAAGATAGTCAAATGCACAATAGCCATGTTGGTGGGGAGTGAAAGCAGATTGATTCGTATTCACTCTGCAACTTAGAGCGCCCATCGATAATGACAGACTGAAACATCAAATATTGCCCCAGAAAGGAGATGGAGAAAAATCACCATGTTTTTGTTTCTGTTTCCAGTGGTCTTATACTAAACCCATCTGCGCAAGTCAGGCTGCACAAAAACACAATAGGGTTCTTTATTGCTGAATCTGCAAAGGAAGTCAAAAGGTAATTTTTTTTATTACTTTATGGGGGGAAAGCACTAAAGCAAATACAACTTAATGGCAGACAGACTGAGTCAGCGCCATGCCTCCCTAGCGTGAAGCCGCCCATAAGTCATTCTTGATTTGCTTTCGTTGTCCAGAGCCTTATTTTACTGTTCCACCTGTCACAGTGATGTGAATAATCCGGAGATAATTGCAAAATGTGGCTGCAAAACCAAGGGCCATCGACAGAATATCACAGGTAACTGTGTTTTATATCTAGCTGTCTGTAGCGCAATGTCTAGGGACTTGGCCCAGAAAAATGAAGGGGATTTTATCTCCTAAATGACAATGCCTCTTTGAACTTGGCGAAATGGGCACGACATTTCTCCACTGAGCATACAAAAGCTGAGAGTCAATCTGAGAGCTGAGAGAACCTTTATTTGCTATCTAGTTCAACTTCTTTATAGACTAGACAAATAGCTTCGAAGAGAGAATATGCAATGTCCAAAGTCACATAGCCAATTGGTGACATAACCAAATCCAGTCCAGACATCCTGACTTTTATAACTACATCCAACTGGTTTTCCCAAACTCAGACTGAAAATCCAGTCTTGATTTGATTACTTCTGTGACCATGAGAAGACCACCTCATAAATACTCTGTGAGTCCCTTCGTTTCCTTCACGAACTGTAAAAAAATTTAAAATTCACACCTTCTGGCAGTGACATGGAGATGTAACTGTCTATATTTTCTCTAAAAGGTCCTATCAATAGCTCTATACACTAATAGCAGACTAAAACCCACTGCCATTGCCAATTCTGACTCAGGGCCACCTTATAGGTTACAGTAGAACTGCCCTTTGGGTTTCTGAGACTGTATCTTTACAAAAGTAAACAGCCTCATCTTTCTCCCACAGTGGTTGGTGGATTCAAACTTCTGACCTTTCATTGAAAAACCCTACACATAACCCTCTATGTCAACTGTTCCAGATAATTTGGTCCCTTCTGGTTTAAACTTAGTTTCATCTAGGTGCATTGAGTTTATTTATTTAATTGTTTGTTTTAAAACCTCTAGTGTTTCAAGGTTTAAACAACATCAATTCAACCTTTGAGTTTTCTAACAGAAATGTCCACTAAGTTGTTTTGAACATTTAAGTTGGATAAATGTCTTTTTGTTATATATATATCATCATTTTAGATTCCAGATATCTAAATTATATATCATCATTTTAGATTCCAGATATACGTCCCCTTGCAGATACATGATGTTCTATTTCAAACAACACTCTCTACTTTTCAGTTCCTGGGTTCCATAATTTATTGCAAAATTGCATATGAAGTTGAGCTAGCACCAATTGTTCAAAAGACAAATCTTTCCCCCATTAAATTGTTTTTAACACCCTTAAAAGCAATTATTTTAAATATGAGCACTTATTTCTGCACTCTGAACTTGATTCCATTGATCTATATGCCTGTACTATACTACCTTGATTACTGGAGAGCTGTAACTTGTTGTAAAATCACGAAGTACAAATCTTCCAAATTTGTTCTTTTTTTTGTCCAGATAGTTTTGACTACCTTAAGTTTATTGAAATGCAGTACCAATTTTGACACCAGTTTGTCAATTTTTGCAGAGAAGTCAACTGATATTTGGTTGGGATTATACCAATCTGAAAGTCAATTTGGGAAATATTACCATCTCAACAATGTTGCCTTCTCATCCAGTAACATGTGATACATAGCTTTACACTTATATACATTCTATTTAGTTGATTTTAATAATTAAAAAAAATTCAGACTATACACTTTCTTCACTTTTTATTACATTTATTTCTAAGTATGGCAAACAGAGTTTTATTCTTAATTTTAATTTAACAAATTATTTGTTTTTATTATATAGAAATACAATTATTTTTGTATATTTATCTCATATCGTGCTCCCTTACTGAATCTGTTTATTACTTCTAATAGTTTTTAGCAGCTTGCTTAGGATTTTCTGTGTAAAAGATCATGTCAGTGTAAATAGAGAGAGGTTTACTTCTTTTTAAATCTGGGTTCCTTTTATCTCCTAGTTTCCACGAGTAGAGCCTTCATGAAATGTTGAATGGACATAGTGAAAGGGTATACCATTGTCTCGTTCCCTGTCCTAGGGAGTCAACTTTTCTTTGTTTCAGTAGATGTCAGCTAAGGATTTTTTCATAGATACTCTATTAAATAGCAAAGAAACCTCCCATACACATAAATTGCTGATCTCCCAGCTAGCAAGCAAGCTGCTTTGTCTACTGCAGCACTGTGGCCCATTATGATGGAGAATGTGTCTTTTTATCCCTACATGTTCTAGCATTTTATCATTAAGGAGTGTTGATTTTTGTGAAATTCATATTTCTGAGTATCTGTTGAAATGACCATATGGGTTTTGTCTTTTATTGCTCATTTGCTGTATTATGTTGATATATTTTCACATGTCGAACCAACGCTGTATTATGAACTCAGGTCTCACTCGGTGGCGCTGAGAAACAAAGACAGAGACTGGGTAAAAGGGACAGGGGATGCTTCACTTTAGCTGATCCAGCTAGGAGCACCCCAGGACTAGAGTCACCAAAACAATCCTGAAAAAAAGAGAATTTGCAGTTTGATACATGCATACTAGGCAGTAAAATGAGGGAATTATGATGTGTAACATATTTCATAGGAGGGTCATGATTAAACATTAGAGTAGGGTTGTGGTTCTTGGCAGAATATGATTTATCTGACCCCTCACTTTCAAATGTCTTCTAACTTGGTTTGGTGATATCTGTCTGGTAACTTTAGGTTCCTTGACCCAAGTACTTATTTTCCAGGGTGACTTGAAGGTTATGACCATCCTTTCTGTGCATGTTTGGTGGGTCAGGTCTGGTCAGAACTGATACTCAATTGCTGTGATGAGATACTTTTCTTGGAAGAAAATGGCTCAAAAGTGACAGGTCAAAAGGAAGGAAAATACATGTTAATTATGGGCAATATATGAGATATATCGTCTAATATCCTGTAGCAACATTTGATATATTAAGGGCAGGCTCCTTTGGCAACTGTAGGATGTATGATGCTGCACAAAGCTAAGCGAGCTGGAGAATGTCTTGTTTTTATAAATTCTACCTGATCACAGTGCGGAATACAGTTTACATGCTGCCAGCTTCATGTTGCAATTCTTTTTTGAGAAATTAAATTCTATGTCTATATTTAAAAAGCTGTTGATATGGAGTATTATTTTTCATTGTGTGATATCCTTTTCCTGCCTTTTCCACAGCAATAAAACTATCTTCTGTAAATGAGTTGGGAAGTGTTTATCTTTCTATTTTTGTAAGGATTTGTGAAGGATTGGTTATATTTCTTCTTTAGGAATTTGGCACAATTTTACCTGTGAAGACCAGAATTACCTTGTGGGAACTTACCAATTTGTAATTCAATCTATTTGTTTATTTTAATTTTATTCAAATTTTGTATTCTATCTTAAAACAGATTAGTAATTTGTGAAATACTAGAAATTTGCCCATTTAATATACTCAGTTATCGCTGACTCGATGCTGACTTCAAAGACTGTAACTCTTTACAGGAGTAGAAAGCCTAGTCTTTCTTCTGTGGAGTGACTGCTGGGTTTGAACTTCAGACCACATGGTTAGCAGTTCAAACAAAAACCACTGTGCCACCATGGCTAGTAATCTAATTTTGGTATCCCGTTACTCATATTTCCTCTTAATTATGTTGATTTTTGTCAGTCAGTAGTAATGTCTCCTCTTTCATTCTCAATTTTAGTAATCTCAGTATTCAATTTTTGTGACGAGTCTTGGTTAATGCTATTAATATTGTTGTTCTTTTAAAATAATCAACTTTTAGTTTAGTTGATTTTCTTGTTTCTATATCGAATTATTTGCACTCCATTTTTCATTATTTTCTTTCATTTACTTGCTTTTATTCTATTTTAGTTTTCTCCAGTTTCTTAAGATCAAAGACTAGGATACTGATTTCAGAGTTATCTTCCTTTCCAGATTTATGTATGTTTAACTATAAAGTTTTTTCCCAACAGTGCTTTAGCTTTACCATATAAGTTTGGGTGTTTTGAGCTTTTATTTTTAATTAGCTCAAAGTATTTTGAAATTTAGCTTGGCAATCCTTCTTGACCCATTGAATACTTAGTATTGTTTTATGTGGTCCCCACATAGCTATTAATTTTTCTAATATTTTCTGTTACTTATGTCTTATTTTTTATGGTATACCATGTAATGTATCCCATTGCTCATACTTTGTATGATTTAAACAATTTAAAATTCATGAGAATTGTTATTGTTTATCCTGGAGAATGTTCTATACACATTTGAGACAAATGTGTATCTGCTGGTGTTCAGTGTAGTTTTCTACTATATGTCTACTAAATCTAGTTGCTTTGTAGTTTTGTTCAAATCTTCTATCTCCTTGTTAATGCCTGTTGTTCTGTTATTTAAAAATATTGAGTAGTAATGTCTACCACTTTATAAATTTTGTTAAATGATTTACTTCTTCTTTTAATACTACCATCATTTATTTTTGATATCTGTTGCTAGGTGCATAAATGTCATCATTATTATACAATATTTATGTATTAAACCTTTATCACTATACATTTCCATTATTTTCCTTTTGCAATATTTTTCTTAAAATCTATTTGTGTGACATAAATATAACCACTCCTGCTTTCTTTTGATTACTATTTACATGATACTTCCCCCAACATTTTTTTACTTTCATCCGATGTGTGCTGTTTTTGTGCATGCATCTTATATCGTCTGTACAGTGTATACATGCGTAACTTGTATACCGCCTATAAATGTTCTATATTTGATAACTGTTCCCATTTTGCCAATCTTTTCATTATATTTAACGTAGTTACTCATAACCAAGGACTGCATTCGCTCTCTGCTTCTGCTTTTCTATGTTTTATATCTTTTCTTGTCATTGCTCCTGAATCCTACGCTATTATTTTCATGTAAACACCTTATTTCTTTATTTATTCTCCTAACAGTTTCTGTAGGATTGTTGTTATTGTTTCTTGTTTGTTTCTTTAATGAGTAACTTAACTGAGCTATTTAATGAAGGCTCGTTCCTCTTCAGTGTAAAGCCTCTATATCTCCATCAGAGGGTACAGCCTTTACATGCACACAGCCCCCTGGCTGACGATGGATTTTACAGTGTTCCATTTGCTATTTTTCTGCAATGAAGTCCCTGTTAGGAGCCGTAGCGGAATAGT